GATATAGAGAGCACAAATGACTCAACTTATCCGGGTAATGAGGTTGAAATATCTCATTGAAGGAAAGCCAAAAATTATAAACATAGAAGGCACCAGCGAAGGCGGTGATAAGGACAGTGACGAGGGAGTTTACAAAGCCAGTGACAAAAAGGCTGTTACGGCTGATGACTGGGTTGAAAAAAATGTGTTGTTAAGGAGTTGGATATCTGGGATAATGTCAGAAGAGAGAATGTACCTCATTGTGGGATGCACGACTGCTAAACAGATTTGGGAATGTCTGGAAGAAACCTATCTACAGGCAACAAAGGGCAAGGAATTCTAGTTAAAGCAACAACTTCAAACCATCAAGCTGGGCAGTAGAACCATCGATAAGTATCTGAAGGAATTCTGTAACACTATGTAAATTCGGACTATGTGTGGATGTGTTAAATGAGTATTAATGTGACATATTAGACATATGAATTCCTATTGGGATGAGTATGGGTGAAAATAGTTGTTTTAGAATCAAGACGGAGAGTGAGGTACATAAGATTCGATAAAATCGACTAAGTTTATGGAAGGTCTGTCTTCTAGAAGGATTTAGTAAGATTCCGTTGGGAATTCGGGAAAACGTAAAACATAAAAGTTGTAGCACTTATCTTTCCAACGATATATTATGGAGCTTGAACGGATTTTTGAGTAAAAAGTTATGTGCGTTTTATTGGACAATGCGCAGTATGCGCGCCCAGATAGTCCCGTGCGCGGTCGCATACTTGTGGCAGTGCTACCGACCTGTTGTGCATCCAGTTGCGCGGTTGGGCCTTTCAGGTGTGCGGGAGTGCACCCAGGGGTCATTTTTAAAGCCCTACTTATTAAAGGTCCCTCCACCATCCGCGCAATAACTTGCTCTAGAAATGAAAGGTCTCAATATCCTAACTCCTCAAAGGTCCCTCGACCATCCAAGGTAAGTTCTAATGGTGATCATAAGTTTATTTCAATTCTCCAACATCTTATTAACATGGGTAAACCCTTCAAAGCATTAGATATTCGATTGGGACATTATTTTTTAGAAATGAAACCCTAGAACTCGAATTCAATAGGATTGGATGTCAAAATGTAATATCTTCACCCTCTAATTGGTTATAGCATTGGATTAATGATTATAGACTCTAAGTTCATGATATATGAGTTTATGGGTATGATAGAAAAGCATGAATGGTTATAGGCTTGGGTTGTTGATTGTTGATTATTGATTAAGGATATTGTTTATCTTATAAGTGATAAAGAATGGTATTGATTATAGCAATTTGAGGTTTTAGAATTTATCTATGAGCAAGAGAATGGGTTGTTGGGTGTAGAAACACCATTAACAAGAGATATGAAACTTTATGCCCACCAAGTATTTGATAAAATGCCTAAGTAACCAAAACATGAGTATTATTGCTAATATAGAATCCCTTTGACTTGTAATTCTATAGATTAAAGTTGAAAGAGTTGGTGAAAATTGTAGTACTCTCAAGAGCAGGAAGTTAAGATATGTGAGGCTAACTCTCTATGTTTGGGAATGCTAATGATTCGCCCTACACTATGTTCCTTCTACAATGTTGCTAATTTTCTCAGAAATATAGTTGAGTTTATTTCCTTGAATAGTTGCAGAACTTTTATTCTCTAGCTTCGTAGTTTGTTCATGACTTACATTCTGAATGGTGTGAGCTTAGTGTGTAATCAATATAGACTTGGTTTGATGCCCATGAGTCTTAGTCTAGATTTCTCAGCATGTCGTAAACAGTTGAAGTTTCAGGTTTCATAATTTTTTCAGGAATACATGTCTTATTCTAATCCTATTTAGTATTCCGGTATCATGTAACTTAATATGATTCAGTATTTCAGTATCACATATTGCAATATGATTCTCAGTTTTTGAATTTAAATCCGTGAATGTTGAACACTTGTATTTGGGTCTGTGGCCATAGTTTATATACTTTATGCATATTTGGGCCTAAGGCCGTAGTTTATGTTATATGCATGTTTGGACCTGAGGTTGTAGTTGATGTTTTATGTATTTTTGAGGTCGTAGTTATGTATACGTATACTTTGGCCTGATGTCATAGCTTGTGCACATATGTATTGGGCCCGAGGCCGTAGTTAAACATGTTGTTCATCATTGAGAAGAGGGAGTATTCATATCCTTACTTTCTTTGTTCAGTTCAGTTATCAGTTATCATTTTAGATATCAATTATTTATTTATCATTTATTATTTATCAGTTATCATATTAGTTACCAGTTATCATTTCAGTTTCAGTTTCAACAGTTATCATTTCAGTTATCAATTATCAATTCTCAGTTCTCAGCTCAGTATCAATTTCAACATTTATAGTTCTTTCTTTTAGTTTCTTTACATACCAGTGCAATTCAAATGTACTGACATCCCTTTTGTCCGGGGCATGCATCTCATGATGCAGGTATGATTTATAGGTTGACAATTCAGAGTGCTAGGATTCTCGTACCAGCTATTTGGTGATCCCAGTTCTTTCGGGGCACTACAATTACCTTACAGTCTTTAGTATTTTCAGACAGTCAGTGTTTTCAGTACTTCATTAGAGGCTTCATAGACTAGAGTAACATTTAGACAGAGTCGCAGGCTTTTTCATGTTAAGCATTGTTGGCTTCAAATATGTTTCAGACTTATATAAGTGATTTTACACATTGATTTATATCATTCAGACTATCAGTTTATAAACACGTGTATGATTATCTTCCGCTTTCAGTATGTTATGATATCACATGTTGATTCAGTCAGCTAGTTGGTTCGCTCGATCATGTTAGTCAGGCATCGAGTGTCGTGTTACATCCAGACCCCGGTTTGGGGAATGACAAATTCAAAGGCATTTGTGATGGTTTGGCTGCCATACACAAGTCTGTAGATGATGATAGCAAGGTCATCAACTTTGCTAGAGGCTTGGGTCCTATATATAAAACTTTTAGGACAGTGATGCTTGGCAAAGCACCTTATCCAATTCTGAGCTAGTTGGTCACTTCCCTAAGAGGCAAATCTCAGAGAGGATGAAGGAGATGATCCACAACAAGTGAATCACAATATGACATTTTCAGCACAAAGGACATACAATGATAGACGTAGAGGAATTTTCTCAAACAGAAGAGGTAACATTAACTACACTTCAAGAAGTAGAGGCTTCAGTCCTGCTGGACAAAACAACAATCAAAATACTCAAGGATCTGGAAATGCTTCTAAGGGACAGGAAACCACAGGATCATCAGCCTGCCAGATATGTGGCAGGAACAATCACACTGCAATAAAGTGCTTCTATAGATGGGACTTCTCCTATCAAGCACCATAAGATTTGCCACAGGCTCTTGCTACACTCAATGTTAATAGTAAGAGTGGTGGAGATAATGCTCACTATATGGATTCTGGAGCAAGCACTCACATGACCAACAATTTAGGTAACATATCCAACCTTAAACCTTACAATGGAAATGATAAAATTATAGTAGAAAATGGACAAGAACTGGATACCACACATGTTGGAAAAGGAACAATTTCTGGTTTAAGGATGAGTGAAGTATTAGCAGTTCCTAAGCTCAAAAAGAATTTGTTATTTGTAAGTAAGATTACTAGAGATAATTCATGTTCCATTGAGTTTGATGAATCATCTTTTGTTGTAAAGGACAAGAGGACCGGGAAACTAATGGCCAAGGGTGCAAAAAGAGGAGAGATATATGCCTTAAGGTGGACAACCTGCTTTCTTTGAGCGCAACACAGAAAGGAGAATCTCTAGCGATATTTGGCATGCCAGACTTGGGCATCCAAATTCTAGGTCCTTAGAAGTACTTAGTAACAATAAGTCTATCAATGTCACATGTTGAAATAAAACTCCTACAATTTGTGTTAGTTGTCAAATGGGAAAAGGTTGTAAACTACCATTCACGTTGAGAAATAAAGTTGAGATTGAACCTCCATTGAAAATTCATTGTGACGTATGGGGTCCTACTCTTGTTGAATCTTCCCAACTTATGAAATACTATGCTTTATTTGTTGATGATCACATTAGATATACTTTGTTGTATCCTTTAAAATGAAAATCTGACTACTTTGAAACATTTGTCAAATTCCACAAAATGGTTGAGAAACAATATTCAAAGAGTATCAAGATCTTTGAATGTGATGGTGGAGGTGAATTTTCAGGTTCTGAATTTTTTAAGTACTTAGGAGACTGTGGCATTGTAAGACATATTTCATGTTCCCACACTCCTGAGCAAAATTGCATTGCAGAAAGGAAACATAGATATGTAGTGGAAACTGGATTGACACTACTACTACATGCTAGGTTACCTTTATATTTATGGACTGAAGCATTTCTCACAGCAGTATTCCTGATAAATAGATTGCCATCATCTGTGCTTAAAAAGGAAACGCCATTTCACAAATTGCATGGTTCACACCCTGATACAACAGTTCGAAAGTGATTGGGTATAGGTGTTTTCCTTACTTAAAGGGAAAACACAAGTTCTCACCTAAGTCCTATCCATGTGTGTTCATTGGTTACAACATTTTGCATAAAGGCTATAGGTGCTATCATCCAACTACAATGTATATCACTCGACCACTAAGGCTTCACTGATCCAATGTATCCTGACCATGTCTGTCTCTTGAAGAACGTACTATATGGTCTCAAACAAGCTCCTAGAGTTTGGTTTGAAAGATTTAGTCTATTCCTACTTCATCTTGATTTCAAATGTTGTCGAGTTGATTCTTCCTTATTTACTCTCCATGATGCTAAAGGAACACTATTACTTCTGTTATATGTAGATGATATAATTGTATCAAGAATAAATTCAAGGCAAATAGGGGGAAGTAGTGCAGAAGCTGGGGCATGAATTTGCTATGAAGGATCTTGGATCCTTGAGTTACTTTTTAGGTATTGAAGTAAGCTATTGTCTTGGAGGAATCCATTTGAAGCAAAGAAACTATGCAAATGATCTGCTTAGAAAAGTAGATATGGAAAATGTAAAAGCAATGCATACTCCACTAGCTCAGAAGCATGGTGAACAAGAAGCAGCTGGCAAAGCAGTTGATCCCTCAGCTTACAGAAGCATTGTAGGAAACTTGCAGTACCTCACACTCACAAGACCAGCATTAATCATGTTGTTAATCTTGCGAGTCAATTCATGTAGAATCCAAACAGCATGCATCTTCAGGCAATAAAGAGAATATTGAGGTATGTTAAAGGAACCATTGATCATGGACTGAGAATCATCTCACAGTCATCCTTCAGGCTGTATGGATTCTCTGATGTAGACTGGGCAGGATGTGCCATTACAAGGATGTCTACTACTGGATATAGTATATACCTTGGTGCAAATTGTTTCTCCTGGTCATCAAGGAAGCAGAACATTCTTGCAAGGTCAAGTACTGAAGCTGAGTATAGAGCACTAGCAGCAACTACAGTTGAACTTACCTGGATAAGCTACATTCTACAAGACATTGGAATGTATATCAAGACTTCTCCTGCCTTATTTTGTGACAACTTGAGTGCTCTATACATGACTTAAAATCCAGTAATGCATGCTAGAACTAAGCATGTAGAACAACATTACCACTTTGTTAGAGAAAAGGTAGCTCAAGGACAATTCATTACTCAATTTGTTAGGTCCAAGGACCAACTAGCAGATGTTCATACAAAGGCTCTTCTCAAAGACCAGTTCCAGTTCTTTTGAGACAAGCTAGGTGTAGTGAAGTCACCTCCCACTAGCTTGAGGGGAACTGTTGAAGATAATATTCAGGCTAACAAACCTGATAACTATGCGATCACTTAGTCTTAGTTTACAAGAACTAAGACTCTTTGTATTAGCTATCCTAGAAGAATCATACTCTATGTTGTATAGCCAAAATATAGGATCAATATTTTGTATAAATACATAGAACTCGTGCAGCTGAAAACATATCAATACATTGCCTTCTTAACGTTGTCTATGTACCATAATTTCACAAAGAACAGTAGTGTGTACTTACACACAGTGGACACTTATTGAATATAATATCAGATATAATAAAAAAATCAGGACAAAATCCTAACAACACGTGGATATTAAATCTTGAGTTTATTTGAAGCTAATCTCCTAAGTTATGAAATCCAACATGGTAATTGCCAACGCCTTAACTCTATCTTTTTTCCTTTCTCTTTGTTGAAGATCATTGAATGGTCTTTTGTCTTTTGTGCATAGCCAATTCAGATTACATAGACTTTCCACTAGTAGCTTCCAGTAGAGTAAAATAAACTGACATTTCAATAATTAGCATATTATTGTCACGATCCAATTTCCATATAGACCGTGATGGCGCCCAACGTTACCGCTAGGAAAACCAACAGTGAATTCAACATAAAATTTCCTTTTTTAATAAACTGCTAAGTAGTCCAAATTCCATTTTGTTGAGAAAATACGGAGTAGAAAATTTAATAAAATAAAACGACGGCCACTAAGTGGGCAAATGTAGTGAAATGATTACTCGAAAACAATAAAGTCCACTAGTGAGTGTACAAAGACCTGGTGTCACAAGTGCATGAGCAACTAGTAAAATATAAAAACCTCTAACTACTTTCTAAAATAAGGTAGACCTAAAATAAATACAAAAGAGAGACTCTAGGTGCTGTAGAACGGCTCAGCAAGCAGCTCACCACTAGGCCTCGGGATATCGGGGATGCGCTCCGGTATGACCGCCAGATGTACCTGCTTCAAATCCTGCACGATTAGTACAAAAGTATAGCGTGAGTACATAAACAAAATGTATCCAGCAAGTATCTAGTCTATCCTTGAAGAAGTAGTGACGAGGGGTCGACATCGACACTTACTATGGGCTAACAATATAATCAACAATTCTAAATAAGCATGGACGAGGTAAGTAATAATAATAATTCAATAACCAGCAGTGAATAAATATTCCTTTCACCGTAGTAGATTCCAAGTGAACTTCTGCCATTAATAGTTATAATCTCACAAGCCACAAAGTAATATCAAGTGTAATTAGGCTCCAAGTATTATTAAGAACGATTTATGCCGAGGTCATACGGTCCAATCCAGAATAACGTGTACACTACCGAGGGTCGTAGGGCACGAACCATAGAAGCATCTATTCTACTGCTGAGGTGTTTGACTCACTTCACAAGAAGAGAAGATACTTTGTGAACATCCGATTTATAAGTTATTACGAGGCTAATATACAAAGAAGCACAAATTTCTATTAACGGTGAAGTAACCCGCCAAAACTCAAGTAACTGAAATTTGGTCTTTTACAATTCCTTTATCAAGTTCTAATATAATTTAAGCACTTTAATTAACAAGTAGGGTGAAAACATTACAAGTATTTCATGATTTGGGTCCTAAACTACCCGGACATAAGCATAATTAGTTGCTACGCACAGACTCACGTTACCTTGTGCGTACTTAGCCCCCAGAATTAGAAGCAAGTGTTAATTTACATCACCTATGGGGTAAATTCCCTCTTACAAGGCTAGGCAAGAGACTTACCTTTTCTCGAAGCTCGATTTCCGGCCTCAAATTCACTTTAAAGCCTCAACTTGGTGTCGAACAATCCGAAACTAGTCAAATGTTATGTAAATTAGTCAATATGTGTTCAAAAGTTCATATTCTAACTATTATAGTGATTATCCAACCCCAATTGAAAGATTCCTAAAATTTATCCCGGGCCCACGTGCGCGGATTCCGGAAATTTTCAAAGATAAATGTTACTCATAACCTCCCGAACTCAAATATATACTTTTCACCCAATTCCATAATTGTTTTCGTGGTTAAATCCCATTTTATCAAAACCTAGATTTCTCAACTAAACCCATAATTTTCACAATTTTACATGTTAAAATCTACCCATAATCTATGTATTAAACTAACATAGGATAGGAATTACTTACCTTTAAAAGCTCGGTGAAAACCTCTCTTCAAAGAGCTCCAAAGTTGCCCAAGAGAATGAAAAATGCGAGGAAATGGCCTAAGTTCCATTTTTAAAATAAGACACGTCCCAGCTGCCCCTTCTTTGCGAATGCGGAAAGGGTCTCGCATTCGCGAAGGAAAACGGTCCAGGCCCAGAAAATTTGGCCATCGCGAACGCGGCCAGGACCTCGCAAACGCGGAGGCTTACCTTCCCTGCCCTACGCGAACGCGAAGACCAACGGTGCCACCCCCACCCAGCTCGCCTTACCCTTCATGAACACGAAGGTCAGTGCCCTAGAGCTTCGCGATCGCGAGCTATTTTCTGTGAACGCGTAGCACAAACATTCCATAGTGTTACACCACATATTTTCGTACGTGATAGTATATCATAAGTCAATTGATGTACGCTCAGAAATGAGATTGTCTTTGAAAGTACATAAAGTAAGTTAATCTTGTTACCTTGGAGGTTACAAATATTTAATATCATGAATAACAAGTACCAAGAGTGTTGGAAGGCTTAGAAGCTAAACGAATTGAAGAAAATAAGTTTCGTCGAAAGTTGACAAGCGGGGAAGGTTATAACATATACTTTTGGGGTGAGACTAGGGTTCTTAATACGATAAGGAGGTTATGTTATGAGTTATTTTAGTTGTATGATAGTCGTGTGCAATGTTTTTAAGTCAAGCAAGTTGTGGAACAAAAGTTGGCAAAGGTCATCACAAGTTACATTTATAAATGTGCTGAAAATTAGGTAAACTATATCTGCAATTTTCTCCACATTTACTTTGAAATATGGGGTGATCGACCTACCAAATTGAATATCTAAGAGTCTAGTTTCCAACGCATTTAATTGTTTGTCGATACGATGTCGGAGTAGAGAGATATTCGCGTTTTTGCGAGACTACACCAACCAGCTCTTTATGGGACCCACATTGGCGGTTTAGATACATTGATATATATAAGACGCTTCAACCCCGTTTTAACTCATTCGTTTTCAGTATCTTCAGACCATATACACCAAAAAATACTCTCTTAAGGTTCTCTTATGATCCAAGAGCCAAAAAAAGGGCGGACAACACTAATCAAGTGTCGGGAATCCCATCGCGCTAGTAAGCTTCTTGTTCTTCTTGTTGTTGCTGATTTTTGGGTGGTTCCAACTCGAATGGGAGGTTGTTTTAAGTGGTTTAAGTTCTGTAAAATACTCTCCCAAGGTTTTTGTATCAACCCTAGGTTTTTTCAAGTCTTGCAAATGGATTACACCATATTTCAACATCAAAAGTTAGTTCTGGTGAAGAACAACACCTCTTTATGGGATGTGTTTGGCTGAAATTTCAGGTTGTTGCTACTGGATAAGGTGAGTATAACAGCCTACTAATTGTGCTTAAGCTTGCTTGTATGTTGGTTAAGTTGTTAGGATGATAAACTGCAAGATAATACTTGGATTAGCTTAAGTCACTTTTATGATGTTGTATTGCCATTGAGGTCCGTTGTAAGCTAAATATAACTTGGATTTCGACTTGAAGCTACTATAGGAGACATGTTTATTGTGTTCTTGCATGTGCTTAAGGTTATCTTGATGTTGATTAAGTTCAATGGATGGACTAGACATGAACTAGTGAATAAAGTTGCTAATTGAAGATAGTTGGAGTTGAGGATTATTTCCTTAGTTATAAATATATGGTATGAGGATGGAATCATTGATGAATGACTTCATTATCATGTTAATGATGCTGTTTAGTTGATGTATGAAGTCTATAAGGGGTGATATGGTTTATATGGATTCCAATCGGAGCTTGCCGCTAGTCGTGAAGTAGTTGTGACTTGTTGTTGTTATATGGTGTCTTGTTATTGATATTTATATGTTGTTGGATTTATCTGTTTGTTGTTGTTGGTATATGGTATTGGAAGAGTCCCTTGTTATAGGGGAGATGCTGCCCAAAACTACATAAACGTGCTACTAGTTTAAGTTGCGGACTTAGCCTTTACTCAACACTGATTTAGAATCTCCGTATGCTATGGTAGATTGAGTTGAGTTTTTTGAAGAATTTCTTGGAAGGTATTAAGGACTCAACAGAGTTAAGGTATGTTAAGGTACTTCCTTCTTTCTTTTGGCATGATCTAAAGTGAAACGAAAGTAAACGATACGCTATTTTATAACGGGTCTACTCCTAGCAACTAAGGTTCTCCATGTTGTTCTTTCCTTATAAAGTTATTCTATGATGCTTGAATTCTATTGAGATTCATATTGATGGTATGATGTCCATAACGTTAATAGAAGGTGCAACGATCATACGTCACTCCGAAAGGTTTTGAACGTGATTCTATGAGTCGAGCATGCATTATATATTTGTATCTGTTTTACTCTACTGAGCCGCGATATAGCCGGCCGGGTACGACACATATTGTTCAACCACTGATCAGTTGAGTTTTATCGAGCTCCACGTGGCTGGATACAATTCTACCAAGCCTTATGATGGTCGGGTACATTTTTACCGAGTCCTCTTCGAGGCCGGGTATGATATGATGATGATGATGCCCTTAGAAGCGTATGTTTTTAAAAGTATATGTATATATATGAATCATGCATTTCATGTCAGTCACCTTGT